AGAAGTGGCCAGTCACAACTCGGGTGATGGGGGCTGGAGGGGACTACTTTTGAAGGACCAGTGAGAACTCCTTGACTCCTTCCTGAAGAGGCCATAGAAACCTCTCATTCACAGGAAGGAACACAAGAAGGATCTTTCAGAGAACGGGTCCTGCATCGGCTTGGCTATCTATTTTCCTTGACCCAGTAAAGGACTCTGTTACTTTCCTTTGTCCAGACCTAGAGTATAGTTCTGGTATTTAGAAGTGGCAGTCCAGGAAAAGCTGCACAGTGGATGGGCAGGTCCATTCGTGAAAGTTGAGGGGTGTTGTGATTAAGTCATTCATTTGTTTTCAGTGCGAGCAGACGTCTTAAGTTTAGGTAAAAGCATTCCTCCTCGTAGAGTCAAGATAAAAAGTTTGCACTCTTGGAGTCATGTTTGAGTGTATTATTCTCTGTTTACTGTATTAATATTTTATTTTATTTTGTTAATTTTTATTCTTTGATTTTCTTTTTTGTTTCTTTATATTTGTACATTTTTTATATCTCCTTTAACATGCCACCTACACGAAGTAAATTGAGAATCAGTCCCTGTGTGTCAAGGAAGTTGATGTGAGTGGTTGTAAAAAAACGTCCCAGCTCCAGTCTCATCAAAATGGTGACTTTGTGGACTGCAGTGAGTGTGATGGGACCATTGAGGCAAGTGAAGTAAATCAAGCATGGACAACCCAGGTATCTAAAGAGAGCATCTGTTCAGCTAGGGAGGATGAAGAGAGTATTAGTACAAATATGGGCAATAAACAGATTGATTCAACTTGTGAACAAATAAATTTAAGAGAAAGTGATGATGACCAGGATAAGCATAAAAGGATTGCATTGCCCTCAAAGAGAACTCGACGTCCACCTCAAAAACGAGATAAGGATTTTTTATGGTAGATTCATGGTGTCCTATTACCTGTAATTCTAGTAATGATGGACCACAAAAATTACAAAATTTGGGTATTTTGCATCATAATATTCAGAGTCTGGGAAACAAAGTGTTGGCTTTAAATGTATTGTTGAGTTCGTGGTCACTAAAGCCTGCCATCCTATGCTTCTCAGAACATTGGCTTCATAAAGACCATCTTTTACATATAAATATTAATCAGTATAAATTGGTGGCAAATTATTGTAGAAATTCAAACAGATATGGGGGCACTTGTATATTTGCCTTAAACGATCTAAAAATTAGAGAGCTTCCTTTTTTAAATAATCTAGCAAGGGAAAAGGTATTTGAAATTTCAGCCATTGAGCTAGTGGATTTTAAAATTACAGTTGTTTGTATATATAGATCCCCAAATAGTAGCAAGGAAATTTTCCTTGAATTGTTAGACGAAACTTTAAACAAGCTATTAACAAAGGGGCGTCTTTTAGTGTTATGTGGGGATTGGAATATCAATTTATTAGAGGAAAATACCCACCAGAAGGCTTTACAAAGTTTATTGATATCAAATAATCTACAAAACACGGTTTTATGCCCAACTCGAGTTACTTTAAATACACGTTCCTTGTTAGATGTTATGATTAGAAATAAAATATTTTACCACTCAACCACAAAGGTTGTAGAAATGGGATTTTCTGACCATTTTGCGTTGGTCATGAGCGTACTTGTACATAGCCCTTCCACCTGTTCAAAATATGTTGTGAAAAGGATTTTTTCAAGAAGAAATATTGCAAAATTTAATGATCAACTAAAAATTGAACTATGGGACGAGGTCTATTCTCAATTTGATGTAAATAGTGCCTATTGTGTTTTCTTAAGTAAGTTTCTTAAGTATTTTCTGCATATCTTCCCCTTAAAAAAGGTCTTTAGCAAGAAAGGGAAAAAATCAGGCTGGATCACTCAAGGGATAAAGGTTTCTAGACAGAGGCTGCAACTATTATATCTGTTAAAAAGAAAGATGGCTCTGTCTGTTCACACCTTGAACTATATAAAAAAATATCAGAGAATTTATAAAAAAGTAATTTCTGTTGCCCGTCAAAGAGAAAATGACCAAATCATTCAAAGATCAATCAATAATTCTAAAACTCTATGGCAAATAATAAAGAAGGAGTCAGGAAATGGCTTTACAGAAATTGAAAATATTTCATTAGAAATTGATTCTATGCTAGTTACAAATCCCCAGGATATATCCCATCAATTTAATGAATTTTTTGTAAATAGCGTGGACAGGTTGATACATTTAAATAGAAACTGTAAAAATGATCATGCCACTGTAAATGATATAATACTGAACCCAAATGTGTTATTTCTTGTCCCTGTTACTGAAGAAGAGGTTCTAAAGGTCACCAGTAAACTAAAAACAAAAATCTCAGCGGGTTTTGATGAGATCCCGGATATGATAGTTAAACAATGTATCCAATTCATAAAAAAGCCTTTGACTTTTATATTTAATCTGTCACTTAGCTCTGGTATCTTTCCTGATCAAATGAAGATTGCAAAAGTTCGACCCATTTTTAAAAAAGGTCAGAAACAAAATATTACCAATTATAGACCAATTTCAATTTTGTCTGTATTTTCCAAAATCCTTGAAACACTAATGTATAATAGAGTTGTAAACTTTTTAAATAAATTCAAATTGATATCGAATGCTCAAAATGGTTTCAGAAAGAATAAATCCACATTTACTGCAATTCAAACTTTTATTGGACAAATTCAAAAAACCCTAGATAATAAACAATTTGCTTTTGGTATATTTTTGGATCTGTCGAAAGCTTTTGACGTTATTAATCATAACTTGCTGCTTGCAAAGCTGGAGTTGTATGGACTGAGAGGAATAGCTCACGCGTGGATGAGATCGTATCTCACCGACAGAACCCAGTTTGTTGAAATTCACCATATGGATCAAAAGACCTTTAAGATAAAGACACTTACCTCATCTCTTAAGGCTATTAAACATGGTGTACCTCAGGGTTCTGTTTTAGGACCCCTTTTATTTTTATTATTCATAAATGATCTGCCCCGAATCATACAAAATGCAGAGGTAGTATTATTTGCGGATGATACTAATATATTAATTACTGGAAATGACATGTTATCATTAAATGAAAAAATTCAAAATGTAAAGAATCAATTAGAAAAATGGTTTTATGAAAATCATTTAATAATAAACACTGAAAAGTCTAAGGTAATTTTTTTTCGGGGAAGTAGATCTACTCCAATTATTAGATCCATTTTTTCTTTAAATAATAAGGAGGTAGTTTGTTCATCAGATGTAAAATTTCTGGGTATTTGTATTACTGAGGATTTAAGTTGGGCAACCCACACCCAATATGTTTGTAAAAAACTTAGCAAGACTCTTTATTTGATTAAATCTTTACGGGACTCTGTGAGCCAATCTGTATTAAGAAATGTGTATCTTGCAAAGTTTGAGTCCGTGTTGAAATATGGTATTATTTTTTGGGGTGGGGTGAAAAAGGACTCTGAAACTCTATTTAAACTACAGAAAAAATGTTTAAGGGTGGTTAAAGGTGTAAGAAATAGAGTCTCCTGTAGAAATTTGTTTCGAGAATTTAAGATTCTAACAGTTACTTCCTTATATATATTTGAGATTTTATGTTTTATAATAAAAAATAGGATATATACTACCCAGTATTCTGACGTACATGGCTATAATACTATTCATAAACACAATCTGTATGTTCAATTTTGCAATACTGAGCGCTGCAAAAGAGGGGTGATTGGTATGGGAACCAAAATATTTAATGGCCTACCGACTGAACTAAAAAGTGTAAATAATTTTAATGTTTTTAAAAAGAAGCTGAAAAATTATTTGTTGTGTAACGTCTTTTATTCTCTTCAGGAATTTTTTAACAACTGTTGATATGGACTGCTTGCTGACAAATAAATTTGTTTTAGATAAATTATTTATATGTACATGTTGTAAACAATCTGTATATATGTTTTAAATATTTTCTCTAGTCTTAGGTATTTATTATTTATTATTCTATATTCATGTACTTTGAATGTTATGCTTGATGTAATGTTGTTGTTATCTGACATGTCCAATTGTAATTTCTACAGCTATGGATGAAATAAATGAATTGAATTGAAAAAGTGGAAAAGTGATGCATTGACAATCAAAAGAAATTGATAATAATGTATATAAGTATATGAAAGAGGCTGGGCCAACAATTACAGTGAAGAACATAGGAGTGGAAGTAGCAGAAACAACAGGTGTATTGGAAAGTAGTACCAGAAGAATAATAAGAGAAACAAAAAATATTGAATATGGGGCTTCCACTTCCTTTTTGACACCCCATAAAGAAAGACCTAGAAAATCTCCACTAGCCACTTTGGATCACTTTAACGAGTCTGTGGTGCGAAGAACAATTAATGACTTCTACATAGTTGAAAAACGGAGACCTATCCTGAAGAAAGTTCACAAAAAGTTGAAGAAAACGTTAGATTTTTAGGGATGTATCTCCAGCATTGAAGAAAATTATTTTGAAACTGGGGTTCCGCTGGAAGAAAACAAAAAATAATCAGCAGATACTGGTGGAACGATATAACATCAGAGCCAAACGTCTTCAGTATTTACGGCAAATTAAAGAATATTGGGAAGAGGGCCGTCCAAACTTGTTGGTTGTATGAGAATTGCAGATTGTGTGGTACTGGATAGCAGAGTATGTTGCATCACGGAAGTTAATTATTCCTCGTGTCATCCAAGTAATGAATGTGAAATTTTTGGAAGGTGTTGAAGGAAAAATGAGAATGGATGGAATTAGAAGAAAAATGATTATAGCTGCTTGGTCATGCAAAGGGAATGAGAATGGCTAGAGCAAGAAGGATGAGAAGGGCTTTAGAATTATTTTCTAAATGAGTCACCCAGTTGGGCGGGTACTGGTAGACAGTAAGAAGAGAGGAAGAAACTGGCAAGGAATCAAAAGTGAAATGTGGGAAGAAGGAGAAGAGATTGGAGATATCGTGCACATAGATCTGTATAAAATAGAAATTATGATAGAAGGACATGACAAAGAAGATTGAGTTTAAGCCTTTAACACTAGGAAAGTGAATTTTATTTACTTTGTTTCAGCATTCCACTGAGACAAATATGCTATCATGAGTGTGGCCCAGTGTGGAACCAAGATGGTTATACTGTGGGGCATTCTCACCACCCAGCAGTGTTCCTGCACACTTCACCAACAGGAGTGTCACACCAGCCAACTGCAGTGGTGATGAAAATAAGCCACATACAAGTGTCAAACCCAGTGACACTGCCACCTACACCATTGTGGCCTGCCACTGTACTCAGGGCCATCTTCCCCACGACACTCATCTGCAGTGAATTCTCCTGGCTGCAGCACTGCCTCCCACCTGCATGGACTGCATCAGCATACAGTGCTGGAGCTCTGAAAACCACCATATTCAAAGCACAACATAATGTACAAGTGAAAAGAAAGGTAAAGTTATCCCTGAGCTGAACTAATTAAGCATGATGCCATGGAGGCATATGGGATGGTGGACGTATAGATCCTCATTTTCCTTACCTCAGCTCTAATTGTAGGTTAATGGTCAGTTTCAAGCCCCGGCCGCTTTACCTCCGGGGAAAGAGCCCCCCAGTACCCACTGGATAGGAGGTTGTGTGGGCCCCAGAACTGGTCTGGAGGACGTGGGGAAGAGAAAATTCTTGACCCTCTTAGGACTCAAACTCTTTAACTCCTCGGTCGTCCACCCGTAGCACAGTCACAATACAAATTACGCTATCCCAGCTCCTTGTGATTTTGGTGTATGCACCATCTTCAGACATAATTCCCTCCCACGAAAGATGGAGCTCCACTGTAAATGTTAAATGAAGAAAGCTATTAAACTGAGGAAGACTTTATAATACTGCACTTTTCAGTAACCAGCAAGGTGCTGAGTTGAAGATACAGCCTGAAACTTCAGCCCCCCAGGATGTGATAACTTGCTCTGTGGTCAGGTCTGTCATGCACGATAGCAAAATATTGTTTTTGAGTTAATATATACATTGATACAACTGGCCTGTGGAGTAGGCACAATGAAAATAAGGAGAATATGGCTAGAAGTAGCAGGACAGTGGTTGCACATACATTGTGGGAAGGGGGAGTGTGTTTAACTGTGACTAATGCCCTGTAATAACACACACACACACTGCATTCCTTACCACAGTGGACCTGCCCAAATCTGATGAAAACATGCAGGTCTAAAAGCACAAATGGTATCTTGTACGCATTCTTTGATTTGCAGCAGTGGTCAGGAAATCATTGGCTACTGGCTGCATGGATTGGTTTCAATTCTGGCAGGTGCACTTGAATATTTTTCTTTATTGCTATGTCTAGATCAGTTATGGTCTCACTGAACTGAATCTGTTAATCTTCATGGTGTGCTAAAATACGAGAATTCTTATTATACTGTTTCATATCATGTAGGAATTGATACTGATTTCAAAGGATTTACTAGGACACATTTGATATACTACTGGAGTTATGGCCCCACTAGAAAGACAGAGAGAGGGAGAGAGAAGAGAACCTTGGCTTATGTTGAGAATCTGGACGTCTCTTTCTACCACAAAAACACACCAACATCTAGTTCACAACTGAATACGTTGGAAATTTATTGTGGCTCGTACGGCTTGGTGGGGAGGCCGGTGCAAACTTCTGGTGTTAGCAAACCAAGGCACATGTGGAAGAAGACTAGGATTGAAGAACTGTGTCCAGGAAGAGACAACCAGATCAGGATTGTTATCGTTCAACAACTGGACACAACGAGAATCAGTTGTCCGTTGCAGTTGGTCATTCCTTTTGAGGTTAATGTTGGAGGATGTTGGGAATCGTGGACTCAGCGAGACGCGATAACGCACACGTTGCCAGTAACGTTACCTCGGGGTGACGCAACAGCATAGGAGCTGTGTTGGGCAACACTTCCCTGCTGTGACATAACAGCCAACGCTGCTACCGCTGAGGGTAACAGGCCAATAAACACTTCCCTGCCGTGACGTCAGAGCGGGGGGCTGCTAGGCAACAGGTAACAGTATAAGAAGCCAGCTGAGGACATGAGTGTGCCAGTAGAAGCCAGACAGGAAACAGCGGAAGGGTGGTGGTGGTGGTGGTGGTGGTGGTGNAGAATACACTCCTCGAGGTCTTGTTTCACGAAAGGTGTCATCAGGTCATTCTATGAGGTGTATTGGAAAGTTCCCGGACTAGGTCAAAACCTACTCAATTTTGGCTGCCATCTCCTTCAAAATAGTCTCCTTGGGAACATATACAACTATCCCATTATTTTTTGCAAGCTTTAGAAGCACCATGGTAGCCATTTTCCTTAATGCTCTTGAGTCCCACTTCTGTTCCCTTTGGATATTGGACACTGCTTCAAAATGTCCCTTGAATTTCATTTTCAATTTGGGATGCAGAGCGAAATCACGGGTTAAGTCCGGTGAGTAGGGAGGATGGGGAACGATAACTATGTTGTTACCCTGAAACTCTATGGTCTTCAAGGACGTGCGGGCAGGCACATTGTTGTGATGAAGGAGAAATATTGTGCATGTTCAAACTTTCTGTTAAGATCTCCTGGCAAACTTTATAACTGATCCAAGTGGTGTCTAGGAGCTGATGGATTGTTCAATGATGGTTTTTGGGGTTAAGTTCTTGAACTCTGATCTTTCTTTTGGTGCTTGTTTGTCAGAATATTCATCATCTTCAGCTGACACTCAGCAGGCCTTGAAATGTGAATATCATTCAAAAGCTGCTGCCCAGCTTAAGAATTGTTCTCCAAAAGCCTCACAAAGCATTTCAAGGGTTTCGATAGCAGATTTACCAGGCTTCACATAAAACTTGTTGCAGATACATTGCTCAATTCTGCCATCCATCACTGACAAAACGAAACGAAGCTGAAAAGCACTCAAGTAAAAACAATGTGTTCCCATCATGGTGTCACATGGCAGACTAATGCAATAGGCCTGCAGAAGTGTGGCCTCCCCCTCTCATCTTTTATTGAGGCAGTTACAGCGATAACAGTCTGGGAAATTTCCGATACCACTTCATAGTTCTAGTTTTCCATTTGTCTTGAGCTTCATGACTCTACATTCATACTCTGCTACTGCAGTACAAGCATATAAGTACAGTCATCTAGTATGGATTTCAGGAGAAAGAGAAGAGACAGAACCGACACATGACCATTGCTGAGATAGCTGAAAAATCTGGTGAAACACAGGATGATGACAAGACAACTATTCCCAGTGCCATTGCACGACAGAATGTATAAACAAGGTCAATGAATAGTCCTCTGAGCCAGGGGGGTTTGTGAGAACATGTGACAGTTCTAACAAGTTGATTCTGCACTCACTTGCACCCCATTGGGTGCCTACAACTGACAGGTATGTCAAACAGCAACATCCATCAGT